CTCTGAAATTGCTTGAACTTTTTTCCTCACATCTCTGTTTCAGTGGTGCCACTGAGATCACTGTCACTTGTTTGATTTTATTTGTATTTGTTGGACAAAAAGCAACATCAAAATGCTGGCGTCTTACTGACAGTCCTCAAAATGACCAAGCCCACTTTTCTAGTTAAAAAACATTTCTCACAAAGGAGAAAAGTAAGTTTTTGCGTATTTTAGATTTGAATTTACAGCTGCCATCTCTAGAATGGCTCTTCTTTTCATTAGTCGGACAGTTTAAACCCCATAAATTAGACAACAATAAAAGATGCTAAAATGAAGGTTTCAGGGCTATGCTTTTCAGCTTGCCAAATGCCTCTTGGCCAACAACTGATTTAATATCCTGAGTAAATATCCCAGCTGCAAAAAGCCCAAGCGGAGATGTTTTATTCTGAAACGTCTCTGCAACTCTTCTTGGGAACTGCAAGGTACTTTTTGGTCTGGCAATCAACCTTCCCTTCCAAGAAATCACAGTGAAAATGCCTGATTCCACAAAACTCCACTAAATTACCCAGGAACACAATACAACCCTGACTACTGCTACTAACACATGCACAGAATCTCCAGCTGCCTAATGAACACATTAGGTCACTGATACATAACACAGATTTCAAGACCGATCCTGCCAACAAAGATTTCTGCCAAATGAAAAAAGCTACACCAAACTCAAGATTATTGCCTACAAGCTTAAGACTTTGATCAAAATAGTATTATCATGTTAAATAACTTCAAAGAGTGCAAGAGCTACTTGAGTGGGAAGCTTTGTCTAAAATAAGAGCAAAAATTATTTTGACAAAAACAATCCCTAGAATTGGCTGGTAATTATCCAATGAACTTAAAAGAAGCTGATGAACACTGGGGAGTGAGGGCTGCACAATGATGTAGCTGGGGTGGAAGGAAGAATATAAACTTCTTAGAAGAATATTATTACCTAAAATGAGCAGAATTACAGGGATAAAGGAGTGGGGGAAATCTTCTATTAAACATCCACAGGTCTCATACTAAGGGCAAAAAAAAAAAGTTCTTTACTGTTGGGGTGGTGAGGCACTGGAATGGGTTGCCCAAGGAAGTTGTGAATGCTCCATCCCTGGAGGTGTTCAAGGCCAGGCTGGACAGAGCCTTGGGTGACATGGTTTAGTGTGAGGTGTCCCTGCCCACGGCAGGATTGTTGGAACTTGATCTTATGGTCCTTTCCAACACTAACTATTCTATGATTCCATGATTCTATGATTCTAAGTACTTTAGGAGCAGCGATTTTGAGTTTTCAGAACTCTTATACTAATGTTGCTGGTTTTGTCTACACAAAAAATAAAACCTGTTTCCTTATGAAACCCCTTTACAACTACCAGATGTCTCAGTGACTCAACTGCTCTGGTGAAAGACCAGAGCAACGCTTTCATTTTACTTCTTTGCAAGCAGCACTTCATTGTGGAGGAAAATGTTTCTATCTCATAAGGGAAGTCAAAATTTTGGTGAACTCATCGTCATGTTCTTAGGCACCTTCAAGGCAGCAATTAACACTCGGGCGTCTAACTGTGTCCATCCCAGTCCGTGCTGACAAACACCATTACTATTGCTCTTCAAACTGACATCCAAATCAGACCTGAAGTGTGGTTTTTTTCCCAGTGGCAGCCAGCAGCAAACACTTAAGGTCAGTAAAGGAAGATCTCAGTGAGGATGTGACTCGTTCCTAGTCAGACCCTTTCAGCTTCTGATAATCACCACTTCATGATCTACTGAACCAAAACCTAGCTTATCATAGTAGTCACCAATGGGCTTAAATTAATTACAGTTTTCCTCTAACAAGTTCAGCTATGTGAAATTTTTCACCTGCACTCACAGCAGTAAGACAACAATAAATTCCCACAAACGAAGGCAAAATCTGATCTACAGCACAAATGTTACTAAAACACAGAAAACTTACCAGTCTGACGTTAGGCAATGAAACAAACAGAATAATTCAAATATCCCTGAAAAACTGTGTAAACAGAGGAAATAATTAATGACATGTATTTCTTATGGCTTGATTGGAGCCTGGAGCCAGACCCTGCAAATAATGCTCCCCTCTATTAGAAAAGTAGGAAAGAGAACTTCTTATGAATAGCAAAAGAGAAAAAAACCCCAACCAATCAAACAAGAAAAAACCCCAAACAAACAAAAAAATCAAACACCAAAACAAAAACCAACAAATTGAGGGAATTTCTTTAAACAAGTCAACACTAACAGATCAGAACTAAGAAACACCTCAACCTGAGCAGGTTTGTATTGAATCATACAGTAATTGAAGCCAGAAGAGACCTCTAGAGGTCTCTAATTCAACCTTGTCCAGTTGAGTTTTGAATATCCTAAAGGCTGGGATATTCACAGCCTTTCTGGGCCACTACTGTCCCACTTTAAGCATGAAGAAATATTTCTCTTCATGTTCACTTGGGATTTTCTTTAATGCAATTTTATCTCACTGCTCCACACCTTGTTGCTATGCACCTCTGAGGAGGGCCTGGCTATGACTTCTCTAAACCCACCCATTAAGAAAGATGAAGAATGAAACAGAGGATGCTTCCATAGCCTGAACAACCCCAGCTCTTGCAATCTCTCACCACATGACATGTGCTCTGACCCTCTCACCTCAGCAGCCCTATGGTGGACTCACTCCTGCCCAACACTGCACACAATACTTCAGATGTCACGCTAGTAATGAACAGAGGGGACTTTCCTTGACTTGCTGAAGGCTTTTCTCAGTGACCTGCAAAGGTGTACTGCTGACTCACAACCAACTTGCTCATATCCAGCACGGGACTAACAGGATTATGCTGGAACACCACAGATGGTTATAGAGTATTTAGAAAATGTCTCTGTAACACAAGACAATGTGTTACACAATCAATGGATAACATGCCTGCTCGCCCCTATGTCGACTTATTTTTATCAACTCATACTGCTTTTGCAAACATCTGGGATCTCATATCCTCAGGAAAACAAAAAGAAAACAACAAAAACTGAAAAAAAAAAAAAAACAACAACCTGAAAAAGAAGTGGAGGTAGAAATTGTTGTTTTAAGAAGACAGTAAGAAACAATAACTCAAGTATAAGGACTTCATGAGTGACAAAATAACAGCTACAACTTATTCTACAAAACTATAAGCAATCTGTGCCCATCACAGAAGAAAAGCATCTTAAATAATTTCTTCTCTATTCACAGAACAGTAAGGTAAATCTAGTCTGCCACCAGATCCACTTCAAGGGAACTGACATGAGAACAAATTGCAGTAATTCCAGATTGGCTACAACAAATTCCAACTGAATTGAAAAGCTACAAAAATGAGATCTAATTTTCAAGAAAATCCAGAGATGGAAAACCAACAGCCCCATATTGTGGGAAAAACCCTAAAACAAAGACTGAATTCCAGGACACACTCTCCACCAATTCACTCACTCCAGATTATGTACACTTCTCCTGATATCACCACACCACCATCTGTTCTAGCTAACTCATGAGAAACCAAAAAGCCACCAGCCAACAGCAAATTGTTCAGAATCAAGGAAACAAACTGCCATAAGCACCCTGGTAATGGCTGAAATCTTACACCTTCCTCGTACCTCTCAATGGTTGAAGAAAAGCCAAAACAGGGCCAATCCAGACACTGACACACAGAACTGTCTGATTCCCTAGTTAAGCCATTTGTTACTTTCTCTGGTGAGAAGATGCTGTGGGAAAGCAGAAAACTGGTATTTACCAGGAAGCTACAGACAGGGAGGATCTGTCAAACTCCAGTCATTCACAAGGGGTTTAACTGTTTAACCTTCTGATAGGATATTGATGCGTGATGAGACCAGCTGCTACCTGACAGGGACAAACAGAATTAAGATGAGATTATTCTACATTAGGTGGCATAGACATACAATTTTAATGGTGTCACTTTGACCCTGCATCACATGAACCTATAATCAGGATATAGAAGTTCTAGTACTACTTTTATTCTTCTCTATTGCTTTAAAAAGGCAATGCTTGAAACAATGACTTTTTTTTTAAGATGGTATAGTAAGCAATATTTCTTTTAAAATTACAGCTGTCCAACAGTTTGAGTCTGTTCTTTTTAAAATGAAACAGCCAGAACAAATGGTGGTGGCAAGCTCAGCGTAAAGAGGTCATCGATTATTAAAATCTCCTCACTATAAATCGTGGATGTTGCTTGTCAGCTTGGTGTGTGACTGTGGAATGAGTAAGTAGGTAAAATTCCACAAAGGCTATAGTTTGCTTGATCATTCTGCTGTGCAAAAATAGAAATAAAAGCTCTCCCCATCCTTTCACTCTTTAGTACCAAGACATTCATACACATGTTAAGAAGAAACTTTCCTGCTGCAATGGTCGCTGATCCAATTCCTTTCTTTCCTGAGTCTGCTCTGATGCTACTTACGAATTTTCCAAATCAAGAAATGCAATAAACAGGAAAAAGAAAAAAAAGACAGCTTCATTCTGCTTCAGTGATCGATATCTAAGGAAAGCACATAAATTTTCCAATGAAATCCATAAGTGAAAGACGAGGCCAAGCCCTACCTACACATCTTCAAAGTTACAGAGCAAAGAGGTGCCAACCCTGTGCCCCCTGAAAGTACAAAATCTCCTCCACACTTACCTAAGCAATTTTCATGAGATTCACAGATGTAAAGATGATCTAGTTGGCCTATGCCTTGAAGGGTGTAAACTGGCTATAAACCTGCTGAGGAGCCACATTTTCAGAGTTCACAATGCTATCTGATAGTGAAATGTAAGGAATGGATGAGAACAAGACAAATAACAGCAACTTCCCTTTGTTCCCCCACCTGAAAAGTGGAGGGGAGAAAAGGGAAACCCATCCTTCAGACTGAGCTGTTTTCCTTTTTTTAAGCTATTCCCACGTAAACTGGGAAGATAAAAATGGAATGTTGAGGAAACGCTATGCAAATTTTCATATATCTACATACAAAAATTTACATGGGTTTTTAATTTTTAGTTTTAATGCAACACAGTCCTGCCCATCTCTAACACTTCCCATGCTGTTTCCATTGAAATGCTTCCTCTTACCGGCAGCAGCATATCATTTTATCAGGATGCCAGGAGATCATTTCCACACAATGCTAGCAGATGTAATTTTCTTAGATGCACACACAGTTCATCATTTAGATACTAGATGACAAGGTGATCGCAGGGTGACTCTGTAATGCAAGTTTGCTGTTTGGTATTTTGAATTCTCAAATGATAAAAAAAAGACTTATCAAATATAAATATCTTTAAGAAAAAAGTAACAAAAGTGCTACATATGATCAAGGAAAACAATTCCATTAGTTTCTGCTACTTAAAGTAGGTTTGCTTTACAAATATTACCACATCCATTATCAGTATGGCTTCCAATTATTAATTAAATTGCTCGTAGCCGTATAGCTTTCTCACATCTTAACAAGGACAGAGTAAAGAGAACACAAAACATTCACACCCCATTTCTCATGTAAGAGATCCTCCTGCCTTTAAAGAAACAAAAAGAGTTCATAATTAGGAGAATATTTATGCTATGATGGTTTCCTAGCAAAGGTCAGATGCAAAAGTTCTCCAAGAACCTTCCAGGCTAGTCAGGATGTAGGCATTAGTTACACAGATGTGTAAAAATCCACTCACCCATTTTATGACTTTAATAACCTTCCTGGAAAACACTGCTTTTGAAAGCAGCAAAGTGGAGAGGGGAATAGGGTGGGGACAGAAAAGGTGAGAGGAAGAATAATAGGTGAAATTGTTAATGACAGATCAATAGAGTCTAGACCTCTTCTGAGCAGGCACTGCTAGCCATGCCAAATAATGAATAGTGGTTTTGAGAAGTGGACTGTTGTCCATTAGACATTCAGCTCATTTTTCATATGATTCCAGGCTGGGCTTCAATCATGGTCCCAGAGGCAGAAGGCAGTACTTATCCACTAAGCCACGTAGCTCGTGAGAGTAGAGGATGTCTGTGTTGAATATGTGAACATCAACCAAAATACGTGAATGTGTTTCCAATGGACATTCTCAGCACAGCACCCAAAAGTATATCAAGTCACTGTATGACCAGTGAGGCACGGCTTATTGCAGCTGGAAATGATTTATTCCCATGCTGAAGTGGGGTTTCTAGTGTTCTTTTTACTCTCTGGTGATACTCCCGATCTGGTGTCCATCGACCCTGTGCCACTACCTCAGCTTGCATCCTTTCAGTCTCAGAGAAGGGAAAGCGTACAGACTATTTTTTTAACACGATCTCTAAGGTTATCCAAGGTTTTAAGTGTAGCCTAAGACTTGTAATTGAGGGCTGTCTAAAATACCTGGAAGCACTTTGAATGCTAAGACAGAGCAGCAAGATTTTTCTAGCCACTGGGGCTGGGAGAGGGAGGTTGGTTGGTTGATTGATTATTTACTGGGAATTAATACTGAGAGAGTATATGCAAAGGCTGAGGGCACCATGCCATCTTCACAGAACAAGACCCTAACAGCTAACTGACGTACAAGAAACTGCAAAGTTATACTGTAAGAACACATATTAAGGACTGAGGAAAGTCTGCTAAGGTGCTACGTCTAAAACTAAGTTACGTCTTGCTTTGACCCTCCCCTCTCTTTGTATCAGTCATCGTCTAGAGCTTCTGTCTTGATCTCGTTGGCTCCTTGCCGGGCCAATGCCAAGATGGTGTGGTTTACTGCTGCCATTTCCACGGCTAATGAAATGGGGTCTTGATGGTCACTATGGCTAGTGCTGTCATCCTGTGAATGTAGAAAGGAGAAGAGAGAAGCATTATTACTCCATGAGTACAAAACCCACAGACAAACAAGTGTGTAATGGACTAAGGGCAGTGACTTACACATTCGTTACAGGGGCAGAATTGGAATTGGAAGAAATTTACAAAACTGATTTAGGACTGATATCCCACACTGTGCAGACAAAGGTAAGCAAGGCAAGGAGTGGCACACCCAACTTCTGAGAGGAATTTGAGAGGATAGGGAGGTGGATACTCCGAGGAAATACTAAATTATAAAGACAGAAGTGATACACTAGGTATGTCAGGAAACCAATCTAAGATAGCAAGCACTGTGCACTGCACAAATTCACGCTAGGCTTACATTTTGAATACACAGTTCTGGTCACCCCAATTAAAGAGGACACAATAGAACTAGGAAAGGTAGAGAGAACGGCAACCCTGGGGAGGAGAGGCATGCGGTGGCTTCCTTATGAGGAGAGGCTATAGAGACTCAGGTTCTTCAGTTTGAAAAAGCAATGGCTGGTGGTTGATACGGTAAATGTTTATCACAAATAATTAGTAAATAAAGAACAACTGTTCATGGCTTCTTGTGATCTAACTCACTGGAATGATTCTATACTCCAAAGTGGCAATGGGAAGCTCTGCTTTGCTTATCATGACTGAGTTGTAGGATTCACTGATTTTTAGTTCAGATGAAAGTAAAAATGGCTTTAAAAGGTGGGGTTTAGACAAGTTTAGGGAAAATTTAATCTACTAGAAATTATCAAAGCTGAAAGTGGATACACTGCCTGGTTCAGGAAGCCTCTCAAAACTGCCGACTTCCAGAAGCTAGAGGCTACTATAATAAAATATATATCCTTTAAGAATCCTTTTTCTTTAAATATCACTATTGTCCTCACTCAGAAACAGGATAAAAACCTAAATTAACCCTTGGTCTGAGATAGTATGCTGTGAAGATGCTGAATTCACACATGTATAGGGGAAAAGATGCCAAAAAACTCTTAAGACTGCTAAGAAAGACAGTGCAATGATTTCAGAGGGCTGGAACCAAAGTAATTTAAATACATAGGTGAAGATACTGCCAGGTTCTCCAGTCCACTGAACTATATGTCTCATATTTCTCTGCCTATTTTCTAAAGTGCAAAGTCCCTCAGCTGTAAGACAACCAGCGTGGTTTTGGTTGAGGTGGCTGGCAAAAAAAAATCTGACACTGAGAAACTCTGCTGCTAAAGTATTGCAGTGAAAATTTTAAACTCAGTGGACTGTTGTGCACATAACATGGTGCATAATGGCATCACAACTGCAGACCTAAAAGGCTGACAATTCTGGCATAAATTTTATACAAGTGTGCATGTCTCACAGTCTACATCAGAAAGAAGGCCTGGTTTTCAATAATAAGGAGACTGCGCAACATCCAAACTCTTAATTCCAGCTGTCAAATGAATCCTTCTAGAACTTCAGGCAAAATCATGGTGTTTTCCCCTCTTTAAAATGGGGTACCAATAGTAACCACACTATGATCCTGCAATTTTTTTTAGCTATTATTATTTACTGAAAGGAAATGATAAACATTTATCAGTCTTCCAACAGCCTTTAAGTGATAAACTTGTGAAATTTAAGGTTTAAAATGTGCATTACGCATTTCAGATTAAGATGGATGACAGGTTGTAAATGCTGAGGGGGACAGAAAATCCAGGATTTGGTAAAGTCCTGAGGTTATTTAAAGGAATACAATCATTTACAACAAATGTCAGGCAAATACTGTTATGTGCACACACTTTTAAGGGCCTCTCAGTAATATTTACTACAGTAAGAAATACAAAGTCCTGACTTCTGGAGTTTTAGGCACTTCATTAGTATTTGGGTGAACTTGGTGTTTTAAGGTTTACCAGAGTTAGTGTGTCACTGTGGAAAAGAGACTTTATGTTTTTAACAGCTAAGGGATGTTAAATGGTCATTAGGAGCTTGCCATTTAATCTGCTTTGCTGCTAATGCCTAATTACACTTCATAGAGAGGCCAGCTAGATTACTGAGAAATGTAATTTTTAAGGGCTCTAAATAAAGACCTTTAAATTTTAATAACCAATCTATTTATCTTTTCAAAGTATTTTGGATAGCACACAGAAAAAAAACATAGTTTGGGAGTCTACATAACACTTCACCTCCTATTCAGGTCCTGCATCTGACTGACATGGAATTATGTGTGCTCAGCAGCAGTTTCAACATATTTTATAGCCATTACAAAGCAGCCTTCCATCACCTAGAGCTGGCAAAGTTGATTCCACCAAATCTGCTGGTGATGACCTATAAGAAAGGCCTGAATACCCATCAGAAGCAGAGCGGCTGGGAATGTGTCTGCCAGATATCTGTTGTACTGGGCCATAGCCAAGTGTGTTAAGGACTCATTCCAGGACACTCGGTTGCTATTACTCTCTACCAGCAGCTTTTATAGCAGGAGACCTACCTAATTCTCTCAAATCAGTCAATTAAAAGTGATCTGCCCACCCCAGCTGCTGCTGGGTGTAGCACAGAACACAGCTCATGGCAAAACCAGAACTAAGTGAACTGTTGAAGGCCACTGGTGCCAAGCACACACAGCCCTGGGGGGGGTTGGCCAACAATGACACCTGAAGGAAAATTGGGAAGGGGATGCAATACCTGTCAGGAAGGTGTGTGAAGGAAGGGTCACCAACTTTAGGGTAGGTGAGGGCTCAGAGTGCGGGAAGGGGTATTCTTTTGCTAGAGAATTTAAAAAAGAAGTTGCTGTCAAGGGTTAAAAATAACCAAGGAAAATAGAGAATAGGCAAGAGTTAAAATGCAAACATAAAACAAACCAAAAAAAGACAGATAATATGTAAACAATCCAAATAGTTGCACATAGTTGCAGAACAATACAGAACAGGTACAGAGCCAAATAAAAGTCAAACCTCATTTAATCAAACCCCTTCCCCCACCCTTCACCCTTTGTCTGTCAGTGTCTTTGGGATGGATCCTGAGATGCTCCTGAAAGGTACTGCCATAGTCAAAGAGAGGAAGCTCAGTACCTTATAGGAGGGCACTCAGCATCTTGCTGGGCAAGGCTGCCAAAAGGGATTATAAAGTGTACAGAGCAGGGACTTGCCTGGGTGCCAGATAAGCAACTCACAGGAGCTGTAGCACAAGCTGTAAAGGAGACATTTCTTGCAGAAAGAAATAATAAGTGTAAAAGGAAGAGACATGCCTAGTTTGGCAGGGAAGAATGTTGGTGCCTGATATATAGGAGCAACTGTTATAGACCTTTCTTGAGGGTGGATAACTAGAACAGTGTTGGGGGTAAGGAGAGCGTAAGTTATGCATGGTGCACTGGGTGAGTTAACACTCTCCTAACATGTTTCATACATTGCGTGTGGCGTGAATGGTGTAACTTGCTTGTTTGGAGCAGATCCTCCTGTCTTCTTCTACCTTCTCTGCTTCTCTGCCTCCCTCTGAACATCTTCCCTCCTCCTCCCCATTGCGTACTTGCCAAGTGTCCTGTTGTATGACAATAAATCCATGTGGGTGAATACTGGTTGCTTCAACACATTAAAATAGGGTAGCTGTGCTCTTCCACTTCCCCCATTACAGTTAGATAAAAGAAAAACAACAAGAGACATCTGATTTGCGAGAGGTTAAGAGCCTCTTCTTGTTTCAACTGAACTTCCCCTTTATGGGCCATGCAGCTTGGCCACAGTGCTTACCTGCTCCGAGTAGTCATTGCCATCAACATCATCACTGTTGGAATGACCTCCTGGACTCTGTACATCTATTCCATGGCTCTCCAGGATTGCTGCTTCTTCGAAAAAAGCAAATGGATCCCTAATTTATCTGATGCATTATAGTAACTGAAAGTAACTACTTTTTTTTTTTTTTCCAAGAAATTAGAACAACTGGAAGAACAGAGTTAGCTCTTAGCCTATTCCGCTTCACTCTACAGTATTTGGGAAGGTAGCACATGTACAGATACTGGTTTGCCTGAAATCCTTCCCTGCCAACTAACAGACTTGATTTCAAGTAAGAATCCTCCTTTTCCAGCCAATTGTATTAGATATTAGCTTAATGTCTGATGCACTGAAGTGGCAAAAGCATTCCCTGTAGATCTTCTATATAGTTTGGACTGGCAGGATTTGAGGGGGACAGAGAGTATCTGAAGATAGATGGAGAAATTCTTTAAAGCACTTAAGGGATTTAAAAACACACGTCTTCACCTTCCAGTAGGATTCATGCATCTAAAGCTCCCTTCGGTTCTTTTTAATTTCCTTCTAACCCTCCTCCTCAAATTGTACAGATACAGCTACAACTTCACCCACCTTGGACTGACTTTGCTTTATTCACCCTACTCCTTGACAGATTTAAGTTACAGGAAAAAAAATTTAGGTTAAATTTCAATAACACATTAAATGCTGTAAAAAGAATTTTTTCTTGTTCATAAATACGGCAAGAAAAAGCAGATAGGAACAGGACACAACGTTCTGCAGTTGCAAAAATACTGGGTAGTAGACAGGTATGGATTTCTGTTCATCTATGGACTACAAACATAACTCTGCATAGTATCTAAGGAAGTACATAAAATTTTGCACGCACTGCCAAACTTTGTTGGCTCCTGGCCACTAATGTGAGTTTATTCTCATCAGAATGTCTTATGTTTGTTCACATTAGAAGGTGTACATCTTACAAGTTCAGAGTCACTTCTAATTTCCTTACAATCTGCTACTCACACAAAGAACCTGCAGGGCTAACTCTGAAGTGACTTCTGTTTTATCCTGATCAGCGAGAAAAATTACTACTTTATTCCAGCCATTTGTCCCTGTGCAATCCCTTGGAAAGCAGTAAGGAAGACAAGTACAGACTAAGCAGTTGGCTTGAAGAACCTTAGGTCCTAGTGGCTGTATCTGAGACGTAAAACAACTCACTGGACTCTCAGATCCCTGTGGGGTCTCAGGGATGGCAGTAAGAAAGACAGCCTCAGTGGAACACAGACACAAAGAAACCTACAACCAGATAAAAGCTCTTCAAAACATCTACTTTTTTTTTAAACTGCATATTAAGATTGTGCACTTGCCATCATCTCAAAATGCCTTATTTCCCATATTTCACTGCAGATATTTTGAAATTTTAGCTTAGATTTTATTTTGGATACCCAAAGGAGCCCAAGAATAAAGAGATACAATTCTCCCACCATCAAATTCTGTTTCATTTTTAAAACTGATCTTCCAGTAAAACTTCCTAACAGCATCATTTTCCTGCATTGATGATGGATTTCTATAAATTAAACTCCTACCCATATTTCAGGAAAGATCTGGAACAGCATGAGACTAATTTTAATAATTCCTCCACATTTCTACTAAGAATGTCAGAACATCTAGCATTTTCATTAATACAATCTTACGTAATTTCCACCTCTCCTGAGCAAGTATTAGTACTAAACCCTGAAAACAGGTTCTCTGATACATTACCGATATTGGCTCTTCTCTTGATTTCCTTTCTTCTGTTGGCAAACCAGTTGTACACTTTAAGGGAGGTAACTCGTTCCAAATCCGATAACTTTTTCCCTATGAAAGTAATGGGAGGTGGGGAGGAAGAATAAATACAGCATTGTTACTCACTGGGTTCCAGAGGCAGGCAAAAAAGACCATTACACTTGTGATAAACCCCTGAAATAGAAACTGCACTGAAAAGTGCTTATAACTGAAAATAAAGTGAATTTTATGTGAATCAAAGTACTGTGCCCAGATGTTATGGTAATAAACACCAAATATCTCTCTAAAAACAAAGTAGCCTTTCTTCTTTAAAAAAAAAAAAATAATCTGAACTACAGGAATTGTTTTGCAGCTTCAATCAACTAAATCCAGAGCCGTGGGAGAGAATAAAGGGCTGCTTTCCTAGTTCAAGCACAAAACTGAGATTCAAAAAACTCAAATTCAATTCACAGCCCTACCACAAATCGTGTACCTCTGGGCTAGCTCTCTTAGTATGTGCCACAAGGATATAGTTCAATGACGTGTCTTCTTCAGTGGCAAAATGAATGAAGAAATTTTGTGTCATCCTCTCCAATCTGCTTTCCTTCTTCTGAACCACTAGCTGCTGTCGTGCTCCTGCAGCTCTAATCACACCCTCGCAAATGTGCCAGGACACTTGCGATCTTTTGGGAGAACAGGGGTGGATGTTCAAAACCTGATTGCTGGAGTTTTCATGCTTAAACCAGCAAAAAAAATGCCAGCCACCACCAGCCAGCTACAGGAAACACTGCCTTTTGCTGATCACCAACAGAAAAGAGGGAATGCAAGCACAGAGTGGAAACCTCTTCAGCTGGCCTTGACCTTATCTAAAATATTGGATGTAGCTGCATCCTCAGTCCTCTGCAGGCTATGTGGGGATGAGACTCCCCTACTTCAGACTGTCTCTCAATAGTTTATTTATTCAGCATACAAAGCATTTATGTAATTGCAGCAATCTGAAAACTTAAATAGGTAAGGAGAGATGAGACAAGTGAAATTAAAATCTGGAAACAGACAGCTATGCTGTTTACTAATGCTGTGCATCAGTACCACTCACAAGATTTTATTGATCCTGAGACACAATGTGTTCAAACCGTTTTTTCCAAGTTACTTAACCAAACAGCAGCACAGCCAAGAATAAAATCCCGACCTCTGCCTGATCGATCATTCTGGTAAAGACAAGAGGCAACATATACAAGTTGTGACAAGAGAAATTTTGACTAGGTATTAGGAAAAAGTATTTTGCCATGAGAGTGGCTCAACATCGTAGAATGGGGGCCCAGAGGTACCTCTGGTTTGGGAGATATTCAAAACTGAACAAGATGAAGCCCTGAGCAACCTAACCTAACTGGTCCTGCCTGACCAGGTGAACTCCGGAGGTCACTTCCAGCCTATATTGCTCTATCATTCTGTGCTGTTCTGTGACTGTACCAGTGTCCAGGAGTCATGCCCTGGCCTCTTTTTTTTTGCGTTAATTTTTATTCTGGTTATGTAAAATTGAAATATCCAAAATAGAAGTTCTGAAAACTGTAAATGTACAGTCAGCAAACCTAAGTGAACGCAGGTGTACTCACTAATACTACACTGAATATTCATGTCTCTAACAGAATCACAGAATGGTTTGGGTTGGAAAGGACCTTAAAGCTCATCCAGTTCCAATCCCTCTGCCACAGGCAGGGACACCTTGTATTAGACCAGGCTGCTCAAAGCCCCTTCCATTAGCTGCGCTAAGGTTTCCCTGGAGACTTCTCTTCTACAGGCTGAACAGCCAAAGCCCTCTCAGACTGTCTTCTCTCTTAAGTATGACAAACAACACAAAAAGTGCAATTTTTTTTTTTTTTACCCAAATCCAAGTTCCCCTATTAGTACAGAGATTCTAATATAAGACCCTTGTCTACAAGCTGTAAAGAAAATTGAAAGCTGGGAAAGCTGTGCTCCTTTCTCCTCTGACGACCTGCTCTATAATCTCCAGCAAGCCTCAGCCTCTGAACCTAAAACTTCCCATCTGTAAAAAGGAATCAGTAAAACACAGTTTTGTGGAGTGTAAAATTCTCAGACTGCTACTGAATGCTTAGATAAGTATTTTGAAATAACTGAACATAAAGAATGAAATCCTTCCAGACATGTTTATTTTGTTAGCAATGCCATTTACCATGCTGTATAAATGAAAGGTTCAGATGCACAACTTGTACTTCATATCTCAAATGGTGGGAATTTAAGTTGCACACATTGGCATTTAGGTTTGAAACTTGCACTGGCTGTCACGTTCATCCCAGTACAGCAGCTCTGAACAACATGAGTCATAGACTGCTCACGAAAAAGCCTACTACTAGTTGAGAGCAGTGCATTTGTTAGTAACAGCCATAAAATGAGATGTGCTGAATTTAGCCGGAGATGTTGAAATCTAATTGCAGTTGCCTTTGGAAAGGACACCATGATCAGCTCCTCACCTGGCTTTTGTATAACTGCATTACAGGCGTTTGCAATTTCTTCTCTCTTTGCCTCATCTGGATATTGATTCTCATTGAAGTAACTGCAAGAGGGAAAACAAAAAAAGGTTGGTAATTTTTATCAGAAATAAAGAGCATGAAGGCTCCAAAGCAGCTTCATTAAAGGTGCCAGCTGCTAGTTTATGCACAGAAGCAGCGAATTTTATGTAAACCTGTATATGCACAAGGTAGTATGTGCATGCATTCATATCCACCAAGTGGATAAACCTTCCCAAATGCCTCAAGTAAATAAATATTATCTCAGTATCTGCAATGTCACATCAGCATTTGGAATACTGCACTTGGAGATATAACACAGTAGGCAATGCTACGAATATGCGAATTATGACTGTCAAGTGAAGCAGAATCATCATGTCAAAAGACATCATAGGCCACACCTCTGCCTCTGTTTATTATCATTTACTTATTGTTTTACCCTGCCTAAGGATAGCTTAGGCAGCATCCTACAAATAAAGGAGCTGTTCAATATTTATGCTGATCCCTGAGTTAATATATACACACATACATATATATATATAACACACAAACACACACAAATAGTGCACCCTTTAAACAGATATGGTCTGAAGATTACACAGCCTAAATTACACAGTAACACAGTAAGATTTCTAGAGTCAGGTATGTTTACTTTTTTAAAAATCACAATTTAAAAATTTTAAATCTTCCCCAGAACATAGAGTATAGCATACTCCAACAGTATTTTTTTCTGAATAATCATGATTTTATTGTACTTTATATGCAGTAAACATCCTATAAAAGTTAAACTGTTTTCTCTTTTATTTCATTTAAGTGCTTTACAAATTTTAATGAACTGATTTACATTCTACAGAGCTTATCAGATTTGCATTAAAACCAACAAAAAGTCCTGTTTACTTCAATGGACTCTGATAAGCATGCCGTAAGCAGAGACTACCACATTTTTTTTCTGTAGATTGTCCGTAATACGCAATCCTAGGAATTCTTTGATCAACTTTGATCAGCAGCAGGTTCAGCTGTTGGACAGCTGCTCTGGCTTTTCAAATAACATATTTCCTTATTCCTCAGATCATTTGGTACTAGGAGATTCAGGCATATTTAGGCAATTGTCCTCAACATAAAAAGGACATGGAACTGTTGGAACAAGTCCAGAGAAGGGCCACGAGGATGATCAGGGGACTGGAGCACCTCCCATATTAAGACAGGCTGAGGAAGTTGGGGCTGTTCAGCCTGGAGAAGAGAAGGCTGCATGGAGACCTCATAACAGCCTTCCAGTATCTGAAGGGGGCCTATAGGGATGCTGGAGAGGGACTCTTCATTAGGGACTGTAGTGACAGGACAAGGGGTAATGGGTTAAAACTTAAACAGGGGAAGTTTAGATTGGATATAAGAAGGAAATTCTTTCCTGTTAGGGTGGTGAGGCACTGGAATAGGTTGCCCAGGGAGGCTGTGAATGCTCCATCCCTGGCAGTGTTCAAGGCCAGGTTGGACGAGGCCTTGGGTGATATGATTTAGCATAAGGTGTCCCTGCCCACGGCAGGGGGGTTGGAACTAGATGATCTTAAGGTCCTTTCCAACCCTAACTATTCTATGATTCTATAATTATTATTTTCCATGGTCATAGTTCTCCTCCGGTGGATCACCCCAGCACAGTCACTTTCTACAGAAACCTGGAATCTGTTCCATGTAGCAACTGTTTCTGTCCACGCTTCTTTTGAACATTCCCTTTGCATTTTAGCTACTACTTCATCCTGTTGGTCACAGTGTTATGTACAGTTGCAACTATACTAACAAATGAGGTCCTATTTCAAAGTCACTATACACCGACTAAGAGAAATTAGCATGAGCATAGCTAGTTACACTGTTAATGTACTTCCACTTGATTTGATAGCTTAGCAAACGAAACCACAGAAATAGATCTGTCTTCACAAATTGAAGGGCAGGCTATGTCTATACTACCCATTTGGGCTTTGGAGGCAATCGCATTTACATGTGAACATCAACTACTACTTCCCTGGACCTTCAAGTTGCTCTTATGAAGTAAATCCTGAGAGAATGACCATAACTGCAATTCTCACTATGCTTGCTCCTACTCTGAAAAAGCTGCTGAGATTTTGCCATTAGAGCTGAGACGAGGATGCCTGGTTACACTCACTTTCTGGGAAGGTTCAAGTACACAGGGCTATCAAGTCTGGCACTGTTACCAACAGGAATTCTCACTGAATTATCAGCAAGAGAGTTTCTTTCTCCCCTCCCAGCAGTGCCCGCAGTCTCTGTGTATGGTATTTTTTAAAGTATATTCTTTTCTCTTCCAGACATATTATCCTTTCTATTATTATAAGCCTTTGAAGTGATATGTGTGTCTATCTTAACTTACAAAATTCTGTTCAAAGGGGTCATGTTCTCGACAAAGACTTTTTTGGAGAGCTTGATAAACAGAGCAGAAAATGTTTTTTCTAGTAGTTAGCTATGGAAGCAGAAGCTCAGGACCCTAGTCCAGCTGCCCCATGAAAGAGTCTCATCTCTCTCACCTACAAAATAGAACACTTTCTGCCTGTAGCTATGAACTATTTCCTCATAAGTGCCATAAGATAAAGGAACAAAAAAGTCAAGACATCACAGCTGAAAACTGCACTACTATTCACACAAATATATTGGATGACCTGGAGTACCCAGGTCATCACTATGTGTACAAAAATTAACTTGGCAAATTCTGGTAGCCATAACAGCTATTTTATGGCTTCCCTTTGCTGAATCTTATTTATTTTGTTTACAGATACTTGTCAAAAAATCAAGAAAAAATACCACAAAAGAAACCAGAAATTAGAAACCTGATGGATCTATACAGTGATGTACTAAAACCAGAAGGTGAAACCATGGTATCATGTGATATTATGGATGTAGATCCCCTACGGTCCCCAAGTTGCTAGACAATGCCTAACTTTATGGAAGAAATGACAAAAGATGTAAAATTAAGGAACCATATATAATTTAACTGCCCATTCTTATGTTGATGCAAGAAAAGACAAGACAAGAGGCACTAGCGTGATCCTTTTCTTGGCACATAACTAAATACCATCCTCTTCTAGCAAGCACAGACTGCTGTACACTTCTGCTGGGTCTAACAACAAGGCTCAAGTTTTCTAAAACAACAAAAATTAGGCTCAGGTTTACAGTTCTTTGAGGTAGCAGGAAATTTCCCTGTGATAGAGCTAACTTTCAGAACTGGACAATGAATGAGACACCTTTCCTGGCAACCAACGACTGTAGTCCAATCATTTTTGTGATTTTGAAAAAACTCGTTGCTGAAACAGTGATTTTAAACTCATTTTACACCTGAATAAACGACACACATTTTAAACATAGTTTTTATCATTCTGAAACACTTTAATTCCAACATTTTTTTTTAAATGTAAATGTCCCAAAATTTCTACAAGAAAAGTGATTCCCACTTGAAAACCTGAATTTCTTTTCACCCTGAAATCCAGTTTTCTGACGAAAAAAAAACCAGGCAAACAAAAAAAAAACCAAACAAAAAAACCCTGGAAAAATAAAACAACAACCCCAGCCTGCCCCAAATTTGAGTTTTCAGGCAGCTCTCCTGGTAAGTAAGAAATTTTAATGGAAATCCCAAAGCTAAGCAGGTACCAGAGGAGAGCTGGAAGGGCACTATCGGAGTTGTTAAATTCAGTTTCTGCAAGTGACACAGTAATTTTAGAACCTGTCTCTTACTCCTTATCCACATTCATGATATGCTTCCTTCCTCCTTCCCCCACAGATTCAAGCTGCCTGTAAACTTGTTCAACCGGCAACTCATGCTCCCCAAAACTGTATCTTCTGATACTGTACTTCTTCATCACCACATTGTGCTTTTAACCTTTGACAGAGTGTAAGCTGGTTTTATCAGAGAAGAGATGATACTCAGGAGTCTTCTGTCTGAAAGGAAAAGGTCTCATGTAGCTACCGATAACCAAAACCATGCAACCTCAACAGTAAGAACTGATCTTCATGCTCAGCTTCAAAATTTGCCATAAACGCACACTACCAACATGTCACGTTTAATTCTCATCACTTATTTCAATGTCCTAATGGGACTTAGAGCAACCTGGTCTAGTGGAAGGTGTCCCTGTCCATGGCAGGGGGGTGGAACTAGATGATCTTTAGGGTCCCTTCCAACCCAAACCATCCTGTGATTCTCTGATTTCTGGGGTGATATACCATGACACAAAGAATAAAATTCAAAGACTTCCAACACTTCTGGAAAGGAAGGGAGAATAACTGAGTTTTCAAGATAGGGAAGTCATGGAAAAAAAAAATTATCATTGACTGTTTCAGTTTGCTCAAGTAGACGTTGTGAAAACACAGTTCTCCTTGCAAGCAGGAAATTTAATTAGTATGCCTCCAGTTTTGTTTCTTACCAGCCAGGTATACCTTTGCTAAGGGAAAGAACATAGCATGCTCTTCATAGCTACAAACAGCCTGTTCACCATCTGAAAAGTTCCTAAAAAATAAAGATGAAAAATATAAAGCAACGTGAACTTAAAAGTGGGGGTAAAAAAAGCAGAAAGAAAATAAAAAAAAAAAGGAAATAAAAAGAGCAGGCACAAGAAATAAACCCTGCAAAGGCACACTGCTTTCTAGACAAAGGGCAGCTGTCAGCTGAATACCTTCAATGAAGAAACCAAATGATCTCTTTTGTGGGAAATGACAGTGGAGGATTAAAATGAAAAGTGGCCAAATAATTTACATGAGATGAGAATCCATATGATGGTAAAGAATGTAGATATCCTTGAAGCAGTTTCATTTCAATAACACTGAAGCCTAGAAAAATTGCAGATTCAGAGAAACCCTTTTTCTTTCAGGGATAATGTGCTTAGGACAATGACGGAAAGAGAATCCATCTCAGCCCCGGGCTCTGTAATGGAAGAAAACGCATTTCCCCCCCTCCTTTACCAAGGTGCCCCTATCTGAATTCCTGCAATAGCTGCCAATCTTTTTTTGCTTGGCTGTATGGCTTCTGTTATCCAGGCTTAGATATCAGATGCAT